AAGTAGTCTTTTGTATCTGCTGGAAATCCAGTGTTCCCATTTCTTAAATTTTTTTTTTTTAATTTAGAATTTACTTTACAAAAAAACTTATCATAGCAATATCTGTGTATTTGTGTTACAGTATATCTGTGTGTGTATGTATACACACAGTGTGTGTATGTTTTATTTATATATATATATATATACCTTTTTTTTTTTTTTCTTTTTTTTTCATGAAACATGTATGTACCTTGTTATCTTTGTTGTGAGTTGGTTGCAGATCATTAAATAAGTAATGTGCGGGACTAGTGTGAGCGTCTTGCATTCAGCAGGCCACCAATGGCTTTGTTAGCACCGCTGACATGTGTCATGCTTAAGAACACCATTCTTTTTAAATATCTTCCAAAAGCTCAGAACCTGTGGCCAAGCTGTGCACATGGTTAATCTTCCTTTGGCCACTCTTGTCTGCATACAGCTGGTATTTTGGGATGAAATTGGATTGGATTTTGCTTCCAGCAGGAAGCTGGTGAATTTTTGTGGAGTTGGTTTCATGGTGAGCCTCTCCTAAAGATCAGAAATCTAAAGCTATCCCTGGACACGTGCACTGACAGCCCCATAGCCTGTACCCCTTGCTGCCCTCACAAATAGAGGATTTACCCTTGGCTATAGAAACTGCCTAAGCCTCCAAGCAATAGAGCCTAAGTGAGTCACTTCTAGGAGACCTCATACATAATGAGGGATGAAGAATAAGCAACGTATTGCGTGCCCCGGGTGTGTTACCATTCACTCTATACAGAGAAGCCGAAGGAACATACGCTTCTGTGTTTTAGAAACCATTTTCCATTTGGGGATAATTACTTCCTTTTGCTGATTAAATGGCGTGCTAATATTTCTGCAAGGTTGTGTGTTGGAGTAAAAACTTATTATACCTGCTGATGAAAAAAATAGATGTTGATGAGGAAATGATTTCTGTAACGTGTAATGAGTGTTGAAGTAATGCTCATATAAGTCAATTATATGATTAAGTGTAATGCTAAAGTTAGGTTTACGCATTCGTTACAGTGCTTGCCACCCCTATAAAAAATAATGATCCACAGTGGATTGCTCTTCAGAGGCCTCCTCACTGGCTGTTTTAACCGTCTAAATGTTGCACCACTGCGCAACAATCACGTGCATTACAATAGTTGCACTGCGAACCATTCACACTTGAATGAGTCGAGTTTGACTGCAGTACTGCCTGCCAAACGCAACTAATTAATCTTTGCCATGAAGCAAAGCATCATGGCTGTGGCTTGTGTACCCCCCAGTCTCTCTTTGCAGCTTAAGGGGAGGCAGTTGGAGGGAGCTAAAAATGCAGCTCAACAGCCTGTTTTTACCACCCCCAACTGTATGTGTATACAAGCCCTAAAGGCAATAAATAGCTGCACTTTTCTTTGTATTTTGAGGATGCTGGGGAATAAACCCATCTAAGGACTTGTCTACACCAGAGTCTGTGCAATGAATTCATGACATGTGTTGTCTTAAGGCAGCTCATTCATGAAGGGGCTTTCAGGAAGTTTTAGCACATAAAAATAAAAATCACACACTTTTTTGGCATTGCTTTGAAGCACACTTATGACCCCATTCACACTTCATGATTCAGAATAGCAGCGATTCCAAATCCCATTGAAATTGCTACACAACAAGCATTTGGGTGCCGTTATTCTTTAAGGGCACCCCAAACGCCATGTGGTTCTACTGTGCCTGTCGCATAGCAATCGTCGCAAACCACGCCTTTAAAAATCACATGGAGTTTGTTTCCCAAAAGGGAGCAGGAACCAAATGCACATAGGGCAGCCCATTCAAATGAATGGGATGGCCCTATGCAACACACAGGATTGCCTGATAATTTTTTTCTTTTGAGTCTATTAAATATATTGTTGAAAATGTTTTATTATATTTATTTGAAAAGCGCAAAGAAAAAACGTTTTTTATCCAGCCAGTAATCTTGTGAACTGATAACTCGTTTTACTATCTGCCTGTGGATTGCTATCAGTTAGCATTGTTCCCTGCTACCTTTGTGGACTACAAAACCCCTCCCCCTGTTGGCAAGCAGAGAGGGAGGTGTTCTGTAGTCTTACACTAGGTTCATACATATGCGGCTCTGTGTGCCGCGTTTTGCACGGGCAAAGCAGCCCTTTTATTTTAATGGGCTGCCATACCTCCTGAAATGCAGGGAAAATGTCCCTGCAGCACTTTAGAAATTGTAGTCTGAACTGCACTGCATTTGCAGTTCTCATGCACAGTGCAGGAGCGATTTTCTAGATGGCACCTGCACGCATCTAGTGCGGTTTTTTTTTTTTTTCTGTGTGGGTGGTAACAGGTACAGACCCACAGCGGGAACCACCCGCACAGATGTGAACCTAGCCTTAGCACAATTTTATGTAGTCCCACTTCATGTCCTAGGGTGACAACGCTGTCACCATAGGACATGAAGTGAATTAATGGCAGGATTATCGGGTTAAAAAAGTGTGAAAAAAGAAAACTAATGCAGTTACCACATCTAAGAAGCAGCAAACTGCAATGCTATCAGTTTTTTTCTTGTTCTTCGGGTTAAATACACTTTAATCTAATTGACAATGCACATATAAAACACATTACCTGCTGGTTAGGCAAGAACACTACTCTTCCTGCTGAAATGGATTCTTTCTTGGATACACAGAATATAACCGATTACTAACAATTATAGGTAAAAGTTGATCCAGGGAATATCTGATTGCCTCTCTGGGGATGAGGAAGGCATTTTTTCCCCTGCAGGAGCAAGTTGGGTCATGCTTTGCTGTTTTTTTTTTTTTGCCTTCCTCTGGATCAACTGTGGGTGTAGGATTATAACTTTTGACTGTAGGATGGACTTAAATCTTTTTTTTCAGCCAGACTATGTAATTTTTATTTATTTTATCAAATATAACGGTTGAGGTGAGCACTCTCTATGTAAGCTCCAAAGAGCAGGGCCCTTCTAACCCTCTTGTATTGAACTGTATTGTTGCTGTGTTGTCTCCCTTTGTATTGTAAAGCACTAAGCAAACTGTTGGCTCTATATAATAATAGAGGGCAGAGTGGGCAGGATCAGAGCCAGACACTAAGAAATTGTTGGAATTACCTTGAAATATAAGTAGTCCACAATCGACACAGCTCAGGGTGTTCCACTTATAAATGAAATATCAGCTTCTGGCGGACTGACCCTTTAAATTGTTATATCAACTGGTATGTAGTTGCTGGCAATGCTGTACATTTGTATGCAATGCTGGTGTACCCTATCTATTTCTTCATAATTATGTGTCAGTGTGCAAGCCAGCCAGCCCGCTTTCCTGCATATACTTATTAAGCTTTGTGCTAATTGATACCTATTGCTTTACTCTCAAAATCAAAGCAATGAGCAAAGTACAGTCATTCAAAGCAACACATCACTTACACAGAGCTGATGAAAGAAATCTGATTGGCTGCTGTCACCGCACTTTCCAATCGTCACTTTATTAAAATGCTTGCTGCAGCCAGTCATCATTGGCAATGGAGAATATGCAGTCTTCTACTATGGGTTGCTGTGTGGCTGCACATCAATGAATTTGACCTCAATAAATAACCCCATAATGTCATTTTATTCTTCCGTCAGCGTGCCTTATATTTATAGTAGTCAGTACGGATTGCAATGCAAAGCACTTTGGATGTTTTGTAGTGGCTCATATAACAACCAAGTGTTGAAGACATGCTTACAAGCTCTTCAAAGTGAAAGTTGCTTGAAGGATGTGGGAACACTAATGTAATAATTCTCATTTACTCTTTGCACCGGGTCACCGAAGCCTGCACTTGTGCTTCAGGCATCCACCTGTCACTCCTACCCAACTGTCAGTCTATCGATCCATTTAATCCCTTTTATATAGAAATCTGTTGCAGGCTAATGTTTCTCACTATAGGAACATACCATTCTTTCTTAGCTAGAGCACTTCCATGTGTACAGCCACTGAACACCCCACTGGGGCTAAATCACAAAACCTGTTGTAAATAGCGTGGGTGTTGCCCTTGACAACCAATCAAAGTGCAGCTTTTTTTTCCAATGGCACTTTAGAATTTTTTTTTATTAACACTATGGTTATCATGGACAGCACAGCTGTCATTTTTTTTCATTTTTTATGTTTTTAAAATATATTAAAGTGTTAAGTGTTTTTATTTGCATTTTATTATAAAATTTTATTGCTTAAGTATGTTTGTTTGAAAAAAAATTGTAAAACACTATTGTTACTCTTTTTTTTTTTTGCAGGTAACCTTGTCAAAAAAATTAAAGACAAGTACATTTATTTAATAAAAATGTAGAAAATTTATTATCACATATCTATTTATAAACACATACCAAAAAATGATATACATAATAGAATAAAAAAATCTTTATATACAAAAAAATACATTTTCATATCAATGAAACATTTCTTTGAATAAATTAAACTCTGGTGAGGCTCCCAGTCTGAGAACTTCAATTTACCGGATTGAGTCCTACCTACTCTATAGGAAGACAGCAGTAGAGGAGGTCATGATAAATAATGTATGAGCCCAAGGCCTTGTCTCCTATTCAAGTCCTTTCATTGTATTGGCAGGGTATCCAAACCAAATTTTCATGCTCATTTTTCTTCGTGAGACTTTTACAAATTGTAAAATTGACTTTTCACCCAGTGTGCATCAGAAAAAAAAAAAAAACATAACATGATTTTTTTTAGACATCTTGGAAAACAAAAGGCTCTGGTAAGAAAATAACACAATTTTAGTGGATTTTTTTAAAGTGCAAAAATAGTGAAAGCCTTGCCAAAGTGGTTGTCTTATTTCACGATGATTTGGGTTTCACAAGTTTTTACGAGTGTTGGAAGACCTTACAACAAGTCTTTTAAGGCAGCATATAGACTTTTGGGTCAAGTCTCTATAATACACTATAGCACATGTGACTTATAAGGAAGGTTCACATATTAAGGCGAGAAGAGAGGGGCAGAAGAATAAGTCTACTGGTAATGAATATAGCAGGAGGAGTGCTGCATAAGGTGTTGTGGGATGGTGTGAAGTGAAAAGAGGCTCTCTGTATGCCCATAGTAACAGTCTTCAGAGATAGCTGGGCTGCTTGGGTTTGAGGTGCATACAGAAAATGAGGATGATGAGGGAGAGGCAGTGGACATCCAGGATCCAGCATCACTGCCAGGGCTGGATGGTGCTAAAGGACTTATGTAACCAGGGTGTACCATATCTTTCTCAGGCTTGTCTTTGCACTGGTCGGCCAACCTCAGGGTTTCAGAGAGCGCCCAGATGTAGTTATAGGCCACTCTCAGTGTCTCGATCTTGGTCAGCTTGGTGTCATCGGGGAAGCAGGGCAAGATGCTCCTGAGCTCGTCCAAAGCTGAGTTGAGGTTGTGCATCCTGTTCCTCTCTCGGTCATTAGCTTTGACCCTCCTGGTTTTTTTGATGGTGTGAAGGATGGCTTCATTTTTCACTCTGCTCCTGCCTCTCCTTTTCTTCTTCTCCTCCTTGTGTTCCTGGCACTTCTCGGGGGTTTGTGTTGGAGAAGTGAGGTGACCGGTGGAGAAAGGCGAAGGGGACTGAAGGCTGGAGCAGTCCTCTCGTCCTCTGATGGAGAGAAGGACATCTGGCTGGAGACATCATAATCAGAGTAGGCTCTGTCCATGGTGGCTGGAGTTCTGCAAAGAGAGGCGGAGCGCAATAAGTAACCAAATACCATTTAAAATGTGTAATATTAAAAGCAGAAAATATACTAAATAAAATAGAAACCCTATATCTGACATGGTATAGCTAGAGACCTAAAAAGTCTAAAAATGACATTAAACCACAGCTTGCAGATGAAGTCCAGTGATCATAAAACAGGCAGGTAGAGCCAACAGAGACATGAAGAAGTTGTATGCAGTAAGTGGAGAGGACCCTCATACTTACAGTCAAGTGGAGCGGTGTGCTGAGGACAAGTCTTGAGAAGTTCAGATAAAAGGGACACGCGACAGCTCTTGTTTTTGAAGTGATCCTGGCTGCTATCAGCTCGTGTGAGCAGTGAGTTCGGCACACGACTGGCCTCAGACACCTTATATAGGCTGCCAGACAATGACCCCCCCCCCCCTCCCCACAGATCCCCCCCGGACTGCAGGATGAATGAATCAAGGCATCAGGTCTGCCCCGTGCTGCACTCTCCCTCATTTGCATAATTTATGTCCCCGGCTCCCATTCTCCCCCGGGAGTGTGCCTAGAATTACAGGCGGCCAATCACAGCGCACCGCCCTAGCCGTGACACGTGAGCCCGCACCGCCATAAGCCGGCTTGTTTGAGCTTCATTAGTCTATTAAAAGGAGATGGAGGGGGAGAGGAGAGGAGAGGAGAGGGACAAAGTGATTAGCCTGGAAGGCACCGGCACGTTCCCCAATAAAGGCGCTTTAACGGGTTATTGTCACAAGAGCGCACATTCTAGCACTGTCATTGTTACCTCTCCTGACACTCATTCTTTACTTCCAAGTCCCTCTTCTCCCTCACCTCTCAGCCGCCTGGCTGGCTCTATTACCAGCGCACTGCATCCGACTAACTTACATTCCATCTCATTTCTTTCTCTCTCTACCCCCCCTTCTCTCCTTCTCTCTCTCCACCCCCCTTCTTCTCTTCTCTTTTCTCCTCTTCTTTTCCTCTTCTCTTCTTCTTTTCTTCTCTTCTCTTTTTCTCCTCTTTTCTCTTCTTTTCCTCTTCTTCATCTCCTCTTCTTTTCCTCTTCTCTTCTCTTCTCTTTTTCTCCTCTTTTCTCTTCTTTTCCTCTTCTTCATCTCCTCTTCTTTTCCTCTTCTCTTTTCTTCTCTTTTTCTCTTTTCTCCTCTTCTTCTTCTCTTTCTCTTCTTTTTCTCTTCCTCTTCTCTTCTTTTTCTCTTCCTCTTCTCTTCTTTTTCTCTTCTTCTCTTCCTCTTCTCTTCTTCTTCTTCTCTTCTTTTTCTCTTCTCTTCTTTTTCTCTTCTTCTTCTCTTCTTTTTCTCTTCTTCTTCTCTTCTTTTTCTCTTCTTCTTCTCTTCTTTTTCTCTTTCTCTTTTTCTCTTCTTCTCTTCTTTTTCTCTTCTTCTCTTTTCTCCTCTTCTTTTCCTCTTCTCATCTTCTTCTCTTCTTTAATTCTCTTCTTCTCTTTTCTTCTTCCTCTCTTTTCCTATCTTCTTCTCTTCCCCTCTTTCTGTCCGTCTCTCTCTTTCTCATCCTTTTTTCTTTCTCCTCTCCTTGTTTTTCTGGTTTCTTTTTTCCTTTCTTTCTCTTTTTTTTTCTCTCTTGTTCCTTCTTTCTCTTTTTGTTCCCTCTTTTTTTTTTCTTTCTTTGTCTCTTTCTGCCTCCTATCTCTTTCTGCCTTCTCTCTTTCTCTTTTTGCCTCCTCTTTCTTTTTCTGACTCCTCTCTCTTGCTCTTTCTTTCTCTTTCACTCTCTCTCTCTCTCTCTCTCTCTCTCTCTCCTTCTCCCTCTTCCTTTCTCTCCAGCTCTCTCTCTCCCCCTCCCTTTCTCTCCTGCTTACTCTCTCACCCCACTCACTGTTTCTGCCTCTCTCCCCCTCACTTTTTTTTTCTCTTGGTCCTTCTCTTTTTTTTCTTTTCTCTTTTCTTTCTTTAGTTTTTTTTCTTTCTTTTTTCTTTTCGTTTTTTTCTTTCATTTCTCTTTTCTTTCTTTTCGTTTTTTTCTTTTCTCTTTTTCGTTTTCTCTTTTCTTTCACTTTTCTTTCCCTTTTCTCTTTTCTTTTTCTCCTTTCTTTCCCTTTTTTCTCTTTTCTTTCCCTTTTCTCTCTTTTCTTTTTCTCTTTTTTTACTTTTCTCTTCATTTTTTTAATTTCTTTTTGTGTTTTTTTTTTGTGTTTTTTTTTTTTTTTTTCTTTCTTTTCGTGGTTTTCTCTCACACCACCTTTTCTCTATCTCTCTCTCATCAGGTTCACCACCAGGGGTGGACTGACCATTCGAGCACTCGGACACTGCCTGAGGGCCGGGGGTCAGTAGGGGACCCCATGAGATGCCCCTGGTACCTTTCATTGGCTTTTTTGGGTGTGGGTGAGGACACGGGCCCCATGATCCCCTATTGCCCGGGGGCCCCGTGAGTTGTCAGTCCGCCCCTGTTCATCACAACACATTTCCTATTCCTGACACTTCCCTAACACTTTTTTTTTTTCCTCATTTTTGTCTTGCCTGTTCCTCTATATTACTATTTCATTGTATCCACCTAATCTGATGCCCTTCCTTTTTTATTTCTATTTTTTTTTCTTTCTCCCCTCTTTCCTTTCTATTCAGTTTATTACGTGTTTCTATTCTCCTTCTTTTAAATACCAACGTTTTCTTATATCTGTCTCACCTATATGAGCTGTCTGTCTATATTACCATTTCACTGCATTTGCCCAACCTATAGTTGATCTGATTTTCTTAAGCAGGTACATATATACAATACAATAGTCCTGTCTAAGAGAGATCATTGCCACATTTCTGTGACTATGAATAGCACTGTTTGTAGGTTTTGGTATACTGTGTCCATATGCACACAATATAACTGGAGAGTTCAAAATTTGGTGCGGCTGTGCATGGTAGCCAATCAGCTTCTAACTTCAACTTGTTCAATTAAGCTTTGACAATAAAACCTAGGAGATGATTGGTTTCTATGCAGAGCTGCACCGAATTTTGCACTCTGCGGTTTAGTAAATTAACCCCATAAAGTCTGCTTTACTGAAGTAAAAATAAGTTAATCAAAGGTCTGTGGAGACCCAGCAATGCTGCAGCAATACTCTCACTGTAAAAGACTTTGATAATATTACAGTATATGTTTGATAATGTACATATGCATTCAGATATACATTTTTTTAAAAATGATCTGGAGAAGAGGTGCTTAAGAGGGGATATGACAATATACAAATATATTAACGGTGACTTCAGTAACTGTGATAAACTGTTTAATGTGAGGTCCCCAAAGAGGACACATGGCCATGATTTGAGGTTAGAAGAAAGGAGGTTTAATCCTAGGCTGTGGAAAAGGTTCTTTACTGTTAGAGGAGTTAAAATGTGAAACTCCCTCCCCCAGGAAGTGGTAATAGCAGAGAGTGTGAACAGCTTAAAATAAACTTAGATGTTTTCCTCAGAAAACAGAATATCCAGGGCTATAGGAATTTAGAGAATAAAAATCAGATACACACATTGTTTGAACTGAGTCTTTTCCTTATAAATTAGTAACTCAGAATCCTTATGCCTTAGCTGGTATATTGTCTATGCTGCATGCCAAATCATCAGCTCACTATACACCCTCAATGTGTAAGGACACGTAGGTACCAGAAACAGGGCAAATACATTGAACTTACTAATAACCATCTAAATGGAGGTAAGCTTTCAATAAAAATGTAATTATTCTCAAGGATCAATAAGGCAGGTATGTTTTTAGGCCCGTGAAAATAAATGGGCATGCTCAATAAGGCTAGGTTCAAATCTATGCAGTTTGCGTTTGACCCGTTTCTGCATTGCGTTTTGTGTTGTATTTTTGCACCTGCATTTTTGACACGTTTTTGATGCGTTTTGCATTTTTTTTCTTTATTTTTCTTGTTGCTAGGCAGATTTAAAATGCAAAGCGCAGCAAAAACTCACTACATGCTTTTCTGCAGCATTTCCATTGAAATCTATAGAACCAAAAACGCAACTTTTCGCATTTTAAAAAAAAAGTCCCTGACCCTTTACAAAAAATGCACCAGGTGAAAACGTGGAGACGTGAACGTGTCCCATAGAAAATCATGTTAAATGGACTGTAGTGCGTTTCTGCAAAATGCTGCGGAAACCACTTAGGTGTGAACGTAGGGTAAAAGGTCGCTCTATGCTATCATGGTGCTTTTTGCTCAGATATGTTTACTGTGGTCACAGAAAGCAAGAATACTAAGACACAATTTCATATGCTTAGGAACAAGTTTTTAACTATAAACGCTCATACATATGTTGCCTTTTTATGCCCCATCATCATAGGGAATGGGTGCCGGCAGCAGGCACATTTTTTTTTTTTCCTTTTTGTGTTTTAACACATTGCATTTTTTTTTTTTTTGAGGTATAGTGTCAGCACACCACACACTGTAGTTTGGGGCCACACTCTACTTATTGAACATTTACTGAATTTTTGGGAATCAAATTAGCTGTATGTGTTCATACAACCCTACAATGCAAGCATACCACATCAATATTCTTGCTCGTTTCTTTTAGTAAATGAAATTCTAGATCTGATATAAATATTAGAATTTACATAGACAGCATGAACTTTAAGAGTATTTATAAGTATGGGCAGCACAGTGGCTAAATAGTTAGCACTTCCGCCTGGCAGTACTAGGGTCGTTGGTTCGATTCCCAACCACGACACCACCTGCCTGGAGTTTGCATGTTCTCCCTGTGCCTGCATGGGTTTCCTCTGGGTACTCCAGTTTCCTCCCATACTCCAAAGACATGCTGGTAGGTTAATTGGATCCTATCTAAATTGGCCCTAGTATGTGTATGTATAAATGAAAGTTAGGGACCTTAGATTGTACACCCCTTGAGGGTTAGGGACTGATGTGAATGTACAATATATATGTAGAGCGCTGCGTATATGG